AGCCCTGATGCTGAAGTGTGAACCCTGCCTGTGATTTCAGGCCTTTGACCTGAGAAGTTAAAGATATTGTTTGTGTTCAGAAGCAGGCAAGTGAGAGAGAAGCTCCCCTACATGCAGCATCCTACATGGGCCCCTGCATGGGGAGGGCTTCAGACCTGGCCCCACCAGGCATGATGGTCCCAGCTCGCTGCTGCCCCAGGCACTGGGAGTTCTGGTGCAGCCCAGTTAATGGTGAGATGAAGAGGACCTGATCTTGGGGAGCAGGGTTTTACCTGGGAGCAGAAGCGACAACATAGCTTGAGGGGATGCGCTTTGGCCTTGCCTAAACCAGACACTGCTTCTTGTGTTTCTGTAGGTTAGAAATCTCTGTTACATGGTGACGAGACGGGAGAAAATGAAACACACCATTTGTAAACTCCAGGAGCAGATCTTCCATCTCCAGATGAAGCTTATTGAGAAAGATCTTTACCCAGGTCAGTATCGCTTACCAGAACTTGTTCTCGCAGATGCTGTCCCTGCTGTCCTCTGAAGCCAAAGACTCGTGCCCAAGCCTCAGCCCCCACCCCAAGGAAACCAGAGCTGCCCCCTCCCCTGCGGGGTTATTTAAGCATGGTTCGTATGTTGACTCTTTGCACATCTCCAGTTTTGTTCAGACAATAAAGCCATACCCTGAGTGACTGGAGTGTTGGAGCTCCTTGTTTTCGCAGATCCCTCTTGCTCCTTCTTTTCGTGGGAACTGGTCAAAAAGACCAAGTGTTTGGTTAGGTGGTGGTGCTAAGGCAGCGTTTCAGTGACTGCCATGGAGATGGAGCTCTCTGGGAGGAAATGGCAAATCCTGGGCACGGGGCTGCTGATCCTGGGGCTGATCCACAGCAGCTGACTCCTTGGCAAGGGTCAGCAGCCCCTGCTTTGGACTCTTTGCAGATGCCTTTGGCTCTGTCGAGAATGAAAGGTTAAGCTGCTGGTGAGATGTCTGTTGCTCTTAGAGACCAGCTCCTTTAGCTGTGCTCGGCTGCAGTCCTCTGCTCCACATACGTATTAGTGGAGAACATCACAGCACTTCATGCAAAGCCTCTGGCAACTTTTTTTAAGGAATTGAAATAAAGTTGGTTTCCTCCTGTCCCATTTTTTTTTCCCTTTTGCACAAGCAGTGCTGGAGCCCGCAGCTCCTGCTCCCTCATTTCCTTTCAGTGGCAGGGGGGAGAAAACCCCACGGCCGGCGAGGCGTTTTTCTCC